TAAAAGTAATGAAAAATATGTTTTTAAGCAAAATAATAGAATAAAATAAATTGTACTTTATTTTGACACAACATACTTTTTTTATACCTTTTCTAACCAACGTTCTTTATTTATATAAAAAAAAAGGTGGCAACCCTAATTACAAGGTTGACCAACCATGGAAAGTTTCGCATTACCTTTACCTCACCTGCACTAAAATTGATTGAGTTTAAAACTTTTTTAAACATTTCTTTAAAAATATACATCGATTTTTATTACCGTTTTGTATCCTTTGAGCAGTCAGAGAACAGAAAAATAAATACAAGGTTAACTTTTATTGTCGGCTGTAAAATGTTTTGTTCAATTGCAAGGTCTATTGCATCCTCTTTTCTGTGTAAAAAACGAAAGAATTATTGCCATCCAATTTACCCTTACGCTACAACCTTCTGGTATTTTAAAAGTTTTTAAGGGTTCATTGTAAATGGTCGGTGACGTTAAGGATCTTTACCTGAGTATTTAGGAAATGTTTAAAGTTGCACGTACACTGCCCTGCAATGAATGTTTATAATAAGAGCTCCGAATGGAATTTCAGAAATATACAAACTACTGTAAACTGTTATTAATAATTGGAGTACGTGTTTAAGTAATTTAGACTTAAGTTAGATGTGAAATATTTGTTTGATTCTTGCAACTTTATTTATTCGCGTATTGAGCGTAGAATACATAACATAAATAGTTATCTTTTCTATAAATGATGAATTATAAAACTGCTTTCTTTATTTTCAGATACCCATTACATTTAGCAGACGACAATACCATGTTGTTATTTTGGTAAGTTCAAAAGACTCATAAATATTTAACTTATTCTAAAAGTGCGTACAACATACCATATAGAAATTCATGTTAGTATTATTATTAATATATTTTTACGGTTGATTTTCATCGGATATAGACAATTTATATTTACTGAAGTGAAAGACGCTTTTAAGAGTAATATTGTTTATCTAATTTAATTTATAGGTATTGGGGTCATTTTTATATTACATAAATGCCTGTTTCGCCAACCCATTGATATCTGAACCAAGCCGCGTTTAACAAATATTAAGATTTCGTTCTAAAACATACTTTTATCAAAATAAAATATAGCGTATGTTATTCAGGGATGTTAGTGTAGCTTTTTGATAATCGACAAATTTTTAGAATTGGTTTAGTAGAGTTGGAGAGATTGACCCCTACATATAAACAAGGAAACAAACAAATTTGGTATGTGTTGAGTTGTTTCGACCTTTATATGATAAACATCCATGCTTATAATATAATAGTATTACTTATGTAGGGCCTATATCTAATAATTTTTTTTCATATTTAACAAACTTTGATTATATGCGTTGTAGTTTAAATTGGACAAACCGGCAGAAACTTTAAAAAACGCCTATTAAATCATAAAACCAGCTATTTAAAAAAAGAGTGCTTTCATTATTCGTATTTAAACAAATTATGCCTCTTTACATATTGGTATACACAAAGATATAATTATATACTTATGGTGTATTCACTACAATTAAAGGCCTTCGTATTTTTGCCCTTATATTTATCAGAAAGAATGTTCAAGCAATTTAAAATGTGACAAATGTTTTATTTAATGTATGTATAATTAGGCCAATGTCTTATTTATGGTGTTGAAGCTTCTTCAGGGTAGATTATACAGGTCAAATAAAGAATTATCTGAGTTGTATAAAGTATAGAAAGTACAAAAATCAATTTACTAATAAATTAGTAAATTAAAACCCACGTGGTGACATAAATGATTTCACAATAATTATTTGAACATGGATCTTTGTGTTACCTATACTTTCTGCAATACCTACTGTATATTTGAACTGTACAATTCATCTTGAAGAAGTTTTAAAAACATGAAGCGAAATGTCGGTCTAAGTAAAACAATTTTCATTTATTATAATAGGCTCAATAATTCATACATAAGCTAACCTAAATTTTAGCTCAAACCCTTGCAAAACGATTAGGTATTTCATAAAAACCCTTATATTATTTTTACAATGTTCTTACTTTTGGCGTTTGTATCGCATGCATTATTAGACATTTCCTAATTAGTTTTTCCCTAAAATTACGTGTTTTCGGTCAACTGAAACTATTTAAATGAATCAAAATATTCAGCCGCTTCAACGCCAATTTGTTAAGCGTTTATGCAGATAGGATTCTATATTCAGATATTTGTTAATAATTTCAATAATTGTGAGCGGCTATAGACACTCCAAGACTCACTTTTGTGCAATTATGTATGTACTTTTTACTGTTCTTTCTGACTACATTATTCAATACTTTTATATGGTAAGTTTATGGTCGTCGGACGACGTCGCGTCGACAACGGCGACATGTTGATGCGACGTCGACTCCGAGCGTCGGTCGTCGCCGTGCGGATGTCTTCTTTCCGTAAATCGATGTAAATGTAAATTATGTAGAGCATTATGTTTTACTTTGATTCGGTGTCGGTGAGTCGGGATAGGGGCCCTTGGGGACGTCGACGAACAGCACTCGCTAGTGACATAAAGTTGAGTATGTTTTTCCCGGTACACGAGCTCCTCGACGACATTTATTTTATTTATTCCAACGATAAATGTGAACGTATAAGAGGTCGTTTGACAAGATCTTTTCGACCGTACCTCTACACTTGTTTGTCGAATGCAGGATGATATCTACACACTATACGTATTTATAAGTGTAAAGTGTACATTACACAGTGTGTCCGACTCTGTACAGATTCATACTAATTTTATCTTAATGATCAGTGCAAGGAGAATGTAGTCGAATTACATTTTAATTTGAAATCGTTTTTCGATTTTTTCAGCCACTACAAATTCCTCAGATTAATGAGAAAATTGAGCATTGGTGTGTAAAGTCAAAGGTCCCAGGTTCGTTTCCCGGCGGGAGTGTGATAACAGGAACAAAAATATTTTCCTCATTAATCTGAGGAAATTGGTAGTGGATAAAAAATCAAAAAATGATTTCGAATTAATATTGCATATTAACCACTATTAGTAACTAACAATATCAAAGGTTTTATATACGAGTTGCATTTGTTGAAACGGCTTGATTCCGATTCGCCATTGAAGACTACGATCGAAAATCCGGAAAGTCATTTACTTGCCGAAAGTATTTCATAAATTATAGAAAATGCATGTGTCACTAAACGAATTTTAGCGATGTCGTTAATGTATTTTAGCAATACAGTAGTCTGATAATTGGATTTTTCCCCAAAAAAAGGTACATACAGGGTGCCCCAAGCAAGCGGGTTTCTTCAATAACTGCTTTACACTTGAAGGTATTAAAAAAAATTTCTTATAAAAGTAGTATGTATGATGTATCGTCATATCTTAAAATTATTTTCGATTATACAGTGTCCCATTTTTCCTGGAGGCAACCTAACTTAATTTTTTCGAATGGGATGCATCATTTATTATTGCAATTTTGAATTCCCCGTTAAATTTGAATACCACTTTGTTAACCATATATTATGTCTAAAATGCATCAATTTCCATAAAATTCGCACTAAATCAATAAATAGGCTGTTCAGTGCTCTTTAAATATCTCCGAAACGAAAGCTCACAGAAGTATGTTATTTTCATACAAAGCTTGTGGAAGAAATAGCCTACTATTTTCACTATTAACGGAAACAGAATCTTTTCAAATTCATTGAAATCTACCACTTCTAAAATAAATTTTTTCGAAGTGGCATAAGTTTTTTTTAGGAATGTCATATTTTTTGTCAGCTCATCGTGGGTAAAATTTTATTTCCTTTCGTCCAATATAAGGTTTTTATTATCTACNTTGTCAGCTCATCATGTGTAAAATTTTATTTCCTTTCGTCCAATTAAAGGTTGTTACTATCTACGACTAACACTTTTTGAAAAAATTAAACTTTTTTATGATACCAATTTATATCAGAATATCAAGAATGCCTTGGTCGGCGATTCACTTTTATCAACATTTGTTTCCTACGAACGTCAGTTCCGTGTGCTTAAGAAGGTGCTGAGTAACCTTTCCTTTTACGCGTACTACCTGACTATGGCTTCGGGTGAACTTAAAAAGACAGATACAGATGTTTATTTCCTTCCGTACAGACAATCTTAGGGTACTTAATAGGTGCAAATTTCACTGTTCCGCTAGTAACAAACCACTGTAGCACTCTGCGGAAAGCATATGTACTCGAATATTACATCTGTTTGGATATCATTGAGCGTACACTCAAGATGCCATTGGAGGATTTCGCTTGCATTCCCCAAGGATAAAAATCGTATCTGTCTTTTCGTCTTGACTCAAAGTCATAGACTAGACGGTTCAGAAATTAACAACGTTACTTAGCACCTTATCAAGCATTTTCAATTAGACTACACTTTTACATATATAACGTAGACAGGATTATTTTGCTTGATTTTCTGTTTTACATAGCTTTTTTGGCGATTCGGATAGCCGAAATTCGGATATTTAGAGTTCTACTGTAGTTACATTAAAATGTAACTAAAACAATGAATCGTTTTACATATTTGCCTACTGTACATTTTCTCAAAATAATTAACATATCGGTATTTTTGAAGAAGATTGTTTGTAAGTAACTTTCTGTCATTAAAAATGTGATAAAAATATTTACGTATAGGTATGGCAGCTTCAATTGAAATATTAATGTTTAAATCGCTCTGTGTAGCCTTTTTGCTTAATTTTTTGTTTCCGGTTTATTGACATGTAGAAACTCCATTTAATTTGATCTATCTATAGATTGCCACTCATTTACCTTACTCATTTTATTTTTGTTTATCGATATGGCTAGAAGCGTTCGAAATGTGGTGTTATAGGCAAATGATGAGGATACCGTGGACAGATAATGTTAGAAATAATGACGTATTAGAAAGAATAGCAGAACAGAGGACTCTATGGAAGTCAACAAAAAATAGGCGAGATAGTTGGTAGGACACTTTCTGAGACGTAAAGGTCTAGTCAGAGACATATTAGAGGCAGAAACGGGAGTTAGGAGGAGTAGAGGTAGACCTACGTTAGATTACTGTTCGCAAATAGTTAAGGATGTGGAATGTTCTAGTTTTAAGGAAATGCGAAGATTATCTCAGGATAGGAAAGAGTAAATGTGCGTATCCAACCAGTCTTAGGGTTGACGACCTTATGATGATGATGTCGTATGCTATATACAGATGCAGTTTCAAATTTTTAGGAATTCTCACGAATGAATGTCTCATTGAAACTTTATTGAAAAGTATCTGCGCTAAATCTACCTGAAATTAAGCTTACGTTGGACGTTGCTACATTCACCATGATAATCATGCTAAATTTGGTTATTCCTATTTACTGGTACAAGAGTACCTACGCAGAAATGACTGGCAGATTTTTTGAAATCCATAGAAACCTCAAGTTAAGCGGATAGTCTCAAAGTTTTCCAGGGTTAGGGTTCCGGAATACCTACTTTTAGTGATGGACAATTCTCAAATGACTTACTTGTAATTAATAACTTTATTAAATGTTGTCCCTCAAATTACGGAATGTTAACAAATTTTAATAATGTCTCTTGTTATTTTTTAAGAAATTATAGGTAGTTAAGACGTCCCATATAACACGCTCGTCTAACTCCTTAAATTTTATTTCCAATGCAAAATGAACAGAATGCAGTGATTCGACTGTTTTCTTATTACAGTTTTATTAAATTACTATTATTTTGAATTTATTTCGTAAGATAACTATAGACTATAGAAAAGGTTTAGCTTATTAAAATGTGGGGCAAGCAGGTATCGTTTAAGGTTGAGGATTTC